GGTTGTTTGTTTTACATATACAATATATATATATATATATATATATATATATATATATACACATTACTAAATATGTATAAATATACATTATTAAATATGTATATATAGTATATATATATATACTGTAGATATATACATATTTAGTAAATGTATTACATATCGACATATGTGTATATTTACCTAAACATCACATGTACCTTTTTGAAGCAAAAACCTACATTTCTCACCTTAGTTATTTATTCTATTTTGTACCAATTTTCTTATATTTTATTTTTTTAAGAAGAGTTACTGTCTTAGGATCAATGAAAATTGGAAAATAAACAACATTACAGTCTGTATATATACATGTACTGTATATAACATGTATATGTTAAAAATACAACACATTCAAATATTGATTCAAAAACAAAAAAGTTTTTGCCAAGGAACATTTGTTTGTTATTTTTCAGGGGTTTTTCCACTTGTGTCACCATCCTTGTGTAACTCTCTGACTAACGAGAATGAGTCTGGATCGTAACAACGCAGCAGATCAAACGGTAAATGTCTGATAAATGGTTTGAGAAGATCGTCTCATCATATATACTGTTCTCACGGTGTACTGATGAATCTGTGTACATTACTCTGAAGTATTCTAGGTTACATTTATTAGTCATAAAAACACAAAAAAAGTAGGAACATAAAATAAAGTCACAAAAAAGATTTTTAATTTATATTCTTAGAAAAACTTCAGTTTCTCATTTTTTATGAAATATTTTTACAGACTTTAGCTGAGGAATGGGCTTTATGAACACAATGTTTCAGAGGTTGGTATAAAGTCCCGTTCGACTCACAACTTTTATTGTCATTTTGAGCTATAAATATATATACATATATGTACTATATATATATATATATAAAACCATAGTGTTGGTAATTTAGACATTTTTTCTACACTTGCAATGTTACACTTGGTTGTGTGTTGACTACTAAAAAATTAGAATATTTATCTTTTTAATTGTATATTTTACTTTAGTTTTACTTGGATTTTTTTTAATTATTATTATTAAAATACAAAAACACCAACTTACTTTACAAGCGCCTTTAGCAGAATTACATGAAGGGCCTCATTGGCAGTCAATACAAATATCATTTATCCTGGTGATTACTGCCGCCCAGTGGATATGAGAGGAAAACCACGGGATGATTTGCTTAACGAATGAAACATCTAACATTGCTACTGTCAACAGTAGCAATGCTAGCTGTTTTAAAATCTATTTCAGCACTAAACTGTTCTCTTCTGTTCCACTTAATAAAACCTGTCACTATTTAGTGGCACTCAACTTACTTGTTCTGTTTCCTCTTCTGCGTTCGGGTAAAAAATCTCCCTCTGGGAACGAACATCTCTTTACGTTCCGGGAGATTTTTAAAGCTAAATTGTATAAGTTAAGATATTAATTAGCAACGGACATCAACGGATAATTTTGAATACAATTATAAAATACTTACATTTTTGCAAATAAAGGTCCTAAAATCCCTTCGTCGCTAGTTTTTGTGAATTTTGGATAGTTCAGGCACATCCGACGATGGAACATTCTGGAGAAATCACAGTACAAAAGGCGCCAATTTCCCCCAAATTGTGTTGCTAATCACACCTAAAAAAATGCTGCGTTGTTGATGTCAATTTTGGTTCGACGAAATAATGTTGTAAATCCAAAAAAAAAGCCTCCCTGCTGCCTCTTGGTGTATTTTCCAACCAGAGGTATTCCCACAGCAAAACACAATTGAATCGTGACTTGGGTTCATGACTCTAGTTTCTGGATATAGTATTTGCCCACTAGGGGGAGTCCAAAAATCACTAACCGAAGGGAGCCAACGTCTTGTCCAGTTTTTGTAGTGTTACGTTTCACCCCAGGTTAGGATGGTAAGTAATGAGGCTAAAACAGATAGGTTTGCAATGGAGACAGAACCAGAAATCTTGAACATGATGAGATTTTATTATATATACACACACATCACATAAACATTTAGGTAGATTGCCGCATTCACACCAAAATATTTCCCTTCATTTACATATTTGATTGTTTAAAGTGACTGACCATCCCCACCTTTTCTTATCACAAAATATAACCATACACTTACAATAATGTCGCATCACATAGGAAACATCTTTAAACATACAATCCTGCACATAACCTGTGGTTGGAGAGAGAACCAACAATGCAGCAGCTCAGGGGTGAAACTAGATTATTTTACAAGTTTATTCATACCAGCCACTCTTAAAAATAGCGTTGGAAGACTCTAAGTAACAGAAGTGATTTGTAGTGTCTTAGACAAGTGGTTCTCAAACTAAACTAAATAAACTAAAATTAAACTCATATAGTTCATTTACAGTCTTAGCTGCTCATGTTAGGCCAGTGTTGCTGTACTGGATTGTTGGTCATACCGGTGGTACTGGTGAGAGACAAATATTTACACAGTTTGAGAACCACTGCCTTAGACTCACCATGTATCACACTTTGCAGAAACAAACCCAGGAGAATTACCCAAAGTAATGACATAAAGGTTCCATGAAAATGAAATCCCATTTTTTAATATCTGTCAAATGATTCATATACATTTACTGAATGAAAATGTTGGAATACTATCAGATACAAGGAAGGGTTTCATCACTGTCTAAAATGTACTTACGTATACAAAAAAAAAAAGACTCTTGTATACACAATTTATGTTTACATAAAACGTTTCTCAGTCAGTGTAATAAATTTAAGGTCACTTCATTTACTGGCCCCGCTTATTCCACAGAGTTTCCTGCAAAAAAAAAAAAAAAATTATTAAATGAATGCAAGTTTTGAAACGGATCAAATCAAATCAAATGTAGCACTGCCTTACAGAGACAGGAAGATGTTAATACAGATCTTACCGTGCGTCTTCCTTTGTTGTATCTGCGAAGGCACAGACAGCCCTGTCTCTTTCCAGAATCTGTTGTTTCAAGGCCTGGATTTGGTCCTGAGTCGTCTTTTTAGTCTCCTCATGTTCAGCTACGAAAGAGGAAGAAGGAAGTAAAAGTGTTAGCACAGTATTCAAATCCAGTGTTCACCCTCCCAAAAATGATAATTATAATAATAACACAACTCTTAAAGCAAAGGGAGGTGACATTTGATAATTTGGTTAGCTGGTTGGTTGGTTAAACAAACGCAGATGTTCTGGAATCTCACTGAACAGGAAGCAACTACCGCAAACGTACGTGGCCTGTTTGCATAGCACATTAACAGCAATGCTCCACGTTGTCCTGTCACTATTTCAACACGTATCTCAAGACAAAGAGACCACCTACCTTTAAGTTTATCAGAGGTAGCTGTGATTTCTGTCTTCTTCTTTTCAGTTTCAGCCTACAGAGGGGACAAGTGAGGGAAAACAGGAGGGATGATGAGGCTCATAGAGAGAAATCAAACATATATGAGGTTACGTTAAACTTAATGAAAATCCACAAACAAATGTTTAAACTGTAAACGCTATTCATTTACACAAAAGCGTAAAGGAACATTAGGTAAATACATTAACATATGTTACCAACAAATTCCCAAAGTTCCCAATCCTATTTCAATCACTGAATCCATTTGTGTTCAGTGTCACAACCGCTGCCTCTTCTGCTGAGTTGTCAGACTCAACATCAGCATTAGGTCCAGTTAATTTGTCTGTTTCGTTGCTGATGCTCCATTACTGCTTTTGGCTGCATATGCAACAATCTTTTTCTTTAAAAAAACAAACAATCCTGTAGTGTGTCTTTTTCTTTTTAATGGCATTTTATTTATTTGAGTTCTTTATTTTTTTTTCCAATGATGCAGTAACAGTCATCCCTTGTCACATGTGTAGATGGTGCCCTCTGGTGGCCAGAGATGATATGCAGTATATTTTAATATATAAGTCACTTCATATAATAAGTAGTAGTAGTAGTAGTAGGACCAGCCAAAATACTGAGAAAGATTTTCTTAGTCTGGAACATAGAGTACGTGAAATCTCGTTATAAACACTTTCAAAAGTGTGAAAGTGGCAACAATATATATACAGTATAAATATTTCTTTCTGATGTTTATTAATAAAAAATGCATTTGAGGGAAAATATCAGGAAACTCCCAGTTTTGCAAATCCAAACATTGGTACGTGATGATGGTACTCCCAGACCTTTGTTAAACCATAGATTACATTAGATTATCTTAGATTAGATTGAACTTTTTAGAGGGAAAATGTGGGACCAGGGCTGGTGTTTGGGTTCGTTGGTCACTTTCTCTACATAGGCTTCTGTGTTAACTGAGTGCATCGACATCCTGATGAGAATAACTATGCAAACGTGTGTGTGTGTGTGTGTTTGCACACACCTAGACCTATTATGATTAGACCATTGTGGCAAATTGTGGTTTAAACGGCTAAACCGCTAAAATTTCCAGAACATTGATAGCAGGTCTTTAGTCAATGCAGTTGTTCAAAGGTTTCTGGGTTTTTGGTTTTTTGCCTTAGGCTTATTTGAACTTTTACTTATTGTTTATAATGCTGTTCAATTCAATTCTATGCTAATTTATTTGGTTTCAGAATCAGAAGTCAGAGTGTAATTCTATCCACTGTTATCGACAGAACTATCACTGGGTTTTAATGTGAGGTCAGGGTTAATGATTGTCTAGAAGAATCCTCTCAACAATACAAGTGTGTGTGTGTGTGTGAGTTTCTTTGATTTGTTATGAGGCTGGATGTTTTAAAGAAGGTTCAAATATTTAATCGTTTTCCTAAAAGTTTACAGCCGAGTGTGTGTGTGTGTGTGTCTGGGTCTTGCCTTCTCGTTGTTACAGGCCTGGAGACTCTCCTGGAAGGCCTTGGTGGATTTCTCAGTGTTGGCCTTCGCGTCGTTCAACGTTTTCACTTTCTCGTTGGCAGTGTTGAGCGCAGCCTTCAGGTCATCGATCCTCTTCTTCACCAGAGCGATGGCCGTCTCCTTCCTCTTCACCTCTTCCGTGTTCTCCACCATACGGGCCTTCAGGCTGCGAAGCTGCAGCTCCTGGTGCAGAGCCTGGTAAATCATGACGACCATCACGGCCACGCTGAGGCCGACAACCACAACCGCCAGCTTCATGTCTGGACCGAGACGAGGACAAAACTACTGCTGCTGCTGCTGTTGACGATCACCTGTGGTTCATTCCGGGTTCGACTCCGCTCCACCTGCGCCTCCTGTAGGTACCGTTCCACAGTGCCACCGTTTTCCTGTTTACAACCCGCTCTACCTGCTCGACGGGCAGGGCGTGTCAACGCACTGTCAATGTGTCAGTGCACCTGTTACCTGCCGGCACGCGCACGCGCAAACACCCCGTCTCTCTCAGTCTCTGACGGTAATCTGAGTCGCGAACACCTTCACTTCTTTCATGTTTAACGTTTCCGTGTTGTGACGTTGAACTGCCCATTCATTTTATGTCTGAACATTTAACTATAATCCTCCCACCGTCGTCTCCATGGTTCTGGTTTTTTTGTTTGTTTTGTTTTTGTTAGATAGAATACTTGCCCAAAGCAAACGTTTAAATATTTAGGGTGTGGTTAAGATCGAATTATAAACCAGCAATTCAAGCGATTTGTGTTCAGGAAGCAGTAATGTTTGAAAAATTAAAAACGGGTTGGTTTTTTAATGTCATGTAAGAGAACATTATAAACCACAAAGGCATATACATTACTACAAAATAATCTGTTGTTTTCTTTTGTGTTTCTTTAATTTTTAGTTTAATCAAAGACAGCGCTCGAACCTTTGATTTTTTTGATGTAAGGTCAGAGCGTTTACACTGTCACACCACAGATGATTCGTATTGTGTGGTTTAAAGCTTACATGTCACGCAGCATGTGAGAAAGATTTTTTTTTCTTTCAATACGGAGCAGGATGACACGTGTACCAACAGGTATGTGTTTCTCGCCTGTTTTTATTGGTGACTGATCCAAATGATGGAATTATTAATATGGGAAAATATCAAGAAAATTATACAAAAGAAAAACGTATGACCAAAACTACGGAATAATTAATTTTCATAGAGTCGGTTTTAGTTCAGAGAGAAACAATTTCTTTTTTTCCCGCAGGATGTTTTAGTGACGACATCTTTACTGACTGTATCAAATGTACGGTAAGTTTTCTGCGCATGCGACAAAATGTGAATAATCTTTCATCTAAAATGAACGAACGCGATTAATCAACAGCTTTAATTTGCAATAAAATAACTGATGCCAATGATGTGTAGAGAGCAGCTCAGTTGTTTTCAATAGACAATACAAGTTCTGCTTTGTAACAAAATACATATAACATAATAATAATTATGTCCAACAAAGTGAAATTATAAGGAAAGGTAAAGTATAGCATAAGAGTATGAGAGTATTCATGACATGTTAGCTACGGTACTTGAACGTGTTTAACTTCATTTATTTGCTTAAAGGTGTCAACATTTCTGGAGAACCGGTCTGAAGGCGGAATCAGTGCGTGAGCAACAGGGCGTGTTTGTGCGCAGACTTTGAGCCTGGTCCAATCCAGAGCACAGGTGAGCCAGCCTTCCACTCTGATTGACTTTCACACGGCACAGGAGTCTGCAGGACCATCGACCCATCCGTCCAGTTACCACCGCTCCTTCCATCCCCGAGGAACTGACGCTTCCTCGACGTGCAGGTGAAAATGAAGCCGTACCTGGTGTTGCCCGTGACGACAGTGGTGTCTGTGGCGCTGTTCGCCTACATGCGGTCGGCGGAGACGGACCGAGAGAGACAAAACAGGTTAATGAGGTTCCAGGATATCAAGCTCCGGGTGACCTACGACGTGTTGACGGAGTACGAGAAGGAAGCGTCCGAGGGCCAAGCGCCCATCGACCAGGCCAATGAGAAGCAGAAGAGTCTGGAGATGGCGGTTAACGATCTCCGGAATCAGAATGAGAAGGCGAAGCAGGAGTCGGAAGACTGCCTGCAGTTCAAGGTGAGGACGAGTCCAAAGGGGACGACTCGAGTAAACAAGACTCTCGGAAAGGCTCCGAGCCGGCACTGCGGGTCAGGTGAAGGGAAAGGAAGAAACGTCACGGTCGTTAGAAGAGGCAGGACTGGGTTGGGTTGACAACAAAACGTACAAACATAACAAAAAACGTAAACATTTCTTAGCCATTCTTTTAAGGACGTCTCTTTATTTATTTTTGGAATTTTTCTTTACTGTTATTTGGAATGAAACCTATTACGAATTTCAGATCAAAGCTTCAAAAGTTTTAACAGGTCTGCATTTAGTTTTTTGTATAAAACTGTAAAACATTTTCTGTGATAATAAAGCGGGTCAAAGCTGCTGAAGACCCCTGAGGGTCTGAACATGTTTTAACTAAAATCAGACCCATAACAAACTCATGTAAATAGAATCTTTCTTTCTCAAACTTTATTTATAACAAATCACTCTAACCAGAGGCCTCTGGGAAATTTGCATATACACACATACACATACACACACACACACACACACTGGGTTGATGTGTTTTCTTGTATCAACAGAATCCGTCCTCCAGCTCCACGTCCTTCTCTTCACTATCCCTGAGAAACCCTCTAACCCTCACCTGACCCCTGACCTAATTCTAATTCGTTAAAACATCCTCCTGATTCACAACGTCCGTGGGGCAGAGTGTGTTTGCACTAATCAAACTGAAGACAAACATTGTTCACACAGATGCCAAACCTGCCGTACCTGTCTGTCTCTGTCTATTTTGGCTGATCAGCCAGAAAGTCAGGCCTTTACTCCGCTTTGCTTTTGACTCTGATTCTAATCCACCGGCTGCGATCATGAGAAATATTGTGTTTTCCTGGTTTTTATAATACGGAGGACAGCAGGACAGAACTGTCATTGTTTGATGACGTGCAGCTCCTAATCCTCAGTAATACATTCTCCACGATTGCAGCGTGGTAGACTTAGTGAAGATGAACGTTCCTCTCACACGCTTGAGTTCTCGTTGCTGAGACTTTTGTCATCTGTTGCAGAAATCTTCAAACGACGTGCTGGTGTCTGCGCAGGCCGAATACAATAACACCAAAGGTCAGTGCGCACATTTCATTCCCTTGGTGTCCAAATGTAACATTCCTCATGTCATGTGAATTTTTATTTTTTATTTTTTGCACAGATTTATTCAATAAGGAAATGTCGGACTGGAACCAAGAAATAGAGAAACTGAAACAACAGCTTTCAGCCAAGAGTCCAGTTTGTGAATTTCTGCCCAGCCCCCTGAAAGTGGAGAGCGTAGCCAGGTACCACAGATTGTGTGTGTGTTTGTGCGCATGTGTGTGTGTGCCAGCATTATTAACACAGACTTTAGTCAAAACCGATGAATTGTTGCACTGATGATCAAACATTTTCTTCTTTTTGATGGTTACCTGTAGCAAGTTGTGCGGCATCGAAGTGGTCAAAGAGCAGGAGAAGAAAGAAGAGCCAAAGAAAGAGGAGCCCAAGGCAGAGGCCCCTAAAGCAGAGGCCCCTAAAGCAGAGGCCCCTAAAGCAGAGGAAAAAGCCCCTAAAGAAGAGGAGAAAAAGGAAGAAGAAGCCCCTAAAGCTAAAGAACCATGAAGACGCTCGGCAAGAGGAGTATTTCAAGCTAAAGCAGCGGTGAAGGCAACTGAGTCAAGATGAAGAGTTCCATCTGTAATAAAAAAGAGATTCCAACCGAGTTTTACTGAATAATACGGCACAGCCACACTGTACATATATATTCTTTTTTATTTATTCATGCAGATGAAAACAAACCAATATTTGGGATGAGAGACTACTATTTGGGAAAATGTGTGTTGGCCAGATTTTCACTTTTTTTTGTCAAAAAAACTCGGTAAAATGAAAGTGAACGCTATAGACAGAGATAGCATGTTTACCTTGTCCTGTCAGGTTGTGTTGTTGATTTGTATTTCCATTAAATAAAACATTGTCTGGTAAATAGTATTATTATTATTCAGTTGTTGTCTATTCTTTGTGATGGGTTTCCTGAGTGCAGTCAGTGGGAGGAGAAATCTGTTGATCATTTTGTAAAACGCAAGTTAAAATAAATTTTTTCTAATAAAAAAGCATCGTCAGGCAGTCTCAGTGCTTTATATATTCATGCCTTTTTATGAAATATAATTAAAGATAATTATAGTGAAGTCTTAGCTCTGTGACACATTATTATTATTTGTATTTTAGCTATTTATTTATCAGCTTTCAGCTATTCATTTTAGCTATTGTTAACTGAACATTTTCACCCAATCAAAATTAAATCAGTATTTGTGCAGTACTTCACTTTTATATTTTCATGTTTATGTTTCATTTATCTGTGTTGTCTAACCCTTTACAACGTTCCAAAGGTGACCGTGGTCAAATACAGGCATATCAAACAGAGATATGAAGCAATTCCAAATAAGTAGGTTTGAAGAATAGTATGGACTGTTGTGACTGTGAAACATGAAAATAAAGTAAACTTGCAACACCTGCAAATACAGGTGTGAGTTTTACATATATTTAAATGAAAGAATGATGAATGAAGTTCTTTGTAACATTCATGTACGAACAAATATTCCACCAACCGTCCTGTACAGCATAACACGCTTTACAAAAAAACCTAAACCAAGGGCCTCAAACTCCTGGACCACTATTAGATATCAATAATAATTTAAAAATAAAATAATTTAATTTTGCTCTTCAGACATTTTTTTAATCCATTATACTTCAGTTGGTAATTTCAGAAAAACAGATTTGTACTTGCTGTTGCACTGTATTGTAGTATTATACACAGAGGTGGTTACTTCAGAGTAATATTACTCAAGTAGAAGTAAAAGGCAGTCATCCAAATAATTACTTGAGTAAGAGTAAAAAAGTACTTGATGAAAAAAACTACTCAAGTACTAAGTAACTGTTAAGTAAAAAGTATAGTGATTTAAAACTACTCCTAGAAGTATTTTATTTAGAAAATCTTACTCAAGTAAATGTAATGGAGTAAATGTAACTCGTTACTATGGGGGGGATTTTATACAGTATATTTATAATAAATGAATGTGACTTTTTTCTAAAATAATATATGGGGGGGATTTTAACTTTAAAGTAGAAAACTGAAAAGCCAGTTTTTATTTATTTGGACCACATTAATAGATCGTAGATAGATATATGTGGACGTTAGTTTGACTGCATTTCTTTAGTGGGATTGATGCAGTATAAATACACTGTCTTCTTTTAATTGTGTCATGTTGTGTGCAGCGTCGCCTCACTTTGGCCTCGCTTCTCCATCCATCTGTGGCAGATTGAAAAAGTTTCCCCCAGGCTCAGAATTAGGCAATCAGGGTCCCATCATTCTGCCCCAATTGGCTCGCAAGGTCAACGTCACATATGAGAGGAACGGGTGATTGGTAGGCAGGGTGGGGGTAGACAGGGGGGGGGGGAGTGGACTGATGCCTGTGACATGGACGCATTAAGATCCTTTCATATCTGATGTGTACGTTTACGGTAATAAAACTAAAAACAGTGACATGTTTCTGCCTGACAACATATATAAACAAATATATGACATAATAATGTACTTTTCTGTCACACTGGTAAAATGGAGGTCTGATAAGGTCACATGTACGGTACATTGTGTCTCATCCTGTGTCAGAGAAAAGGTCACCTTCACTGTCACTGTTCTACGACTGAACACCAACTTACATATAACAATTTACAATGGGATTTAAACCTAGACACCTGAAAAAAAAAATATAATATATATTTGTTGAACCTCAGATATACAGTTTTTACTTTTTTCAAGAGTCACTTTTATTTTTATTCTTTCATATAAACCAGTAATAATCAACTCGTGACCCTTGGGCCAAAACTGGCCCGTTGAACTGTGCGATGCGGTCCAAGACTGGACTCCAAAATAAACATCAAATAGAAATGTTAGACACAAATGGGATTTTTTGTGATTTTATTTGAGTGTCCGCTTCCAAGGTGTCGCCCTCCGACAAATATTTTTGTTGATCCCTGATGTACACTGACCCCTCCCAACAGAATAACTATGATACCAAATGTCGCCCACTCTTTATATTTACTCTTCATATACTCTTTCGACCTGTGACTTCTACAGGTGTTCGCCGTTGAAGACAACCGTGCACAAAGTTACAATTAAATTCAAGAAGAACTGCAGGGACAGATATGTGACCAACGTGGGGTATTTGCCCTCCCTCCAGGCAACGGGGTATTTGACTTTGCATGTGTGTGTGTTTTCGCAGAATGAACATCACAACTATCGATCGGACAAATGTGGGGAGGAAAGGCTGCAGGCCACAGCAGATAATCAATACACCTCTAATGACACTACCCTCAAAACACTGCTGGGGTTATATATATAAATGCTTCTCCATCGTCTGCTCACACACAGATCTGGAGTGTGTACACACTACAGCTAGGTCTCGTTAAACACAGCGGTTCCTGTTTGTTTTGTGGGTTTTTTTGTTTGAGCTTTCACTCACCATCTCCCTGGGAGGACACTGGAACACCATGTATGTAAGTATATTTTCTACTCTTCTTCACATGTGACACTGGAGCACAGTGTGTCATGGTTCACCTTGTTACCGTCGCCCCAGGGCCCGAGGTCATTAGTTACAGGTACATTCACACACCAGCAGAATGTAGTTTGTGAAGCCCTTCCTCGGAGGTTCAGTACTCTGCTGTGACTCCGGTGTGGAACTGGTTTTTCAGGTCCACTCCCGCATTGTCTTGTCTCCAACACACTGCCCCACTTGTGTAAATTAAGTCTTGAAACAAACGTAGAGTAAAATCCTCCCTTGTTTGATCTAATGCCAATGATCTTTTCCCTCTGTCACAGGTGTTCCTCATCTTCCCGGACACAGACTTAGCCAGAGGCTGTTTGATATGTTTGATATTCGGTTGTTCTTGTTTGTTATCATGTCAACTAAATATCAGACATATTCCTACAGAGTCTGGCCTTCTCGTCCAGTCCTCCGACGGCGCTGCTTACGAGCCACACTGTCAAAGGTTCAGGTAAATGTATTTGGACAGTGACCGTTGTGGTATATAAATATTTAAACAGAATATCACATCATTAACAAGGCAAAGACAAACATGGACAATAAGTTAGAAAATGTTTTAAACCCAGTTAAATTTAAAGGTTTTATTACAATGTTTCTATTTTAAAACATATTAAATGATTGTTCTGAATTATTAAAAACTATTTTCCTTAAATAAATAAAAATTAACGCTGATGTTACGTTGTCTTGTTGTCAAATGAACGCTGATGTTACGTTGTCTTGTTGTCACTTCATTACAGTACAAAAAAAAAATCGTATTAGTGAACAGTGTAAGCAGAGAAACATCCTGCTCCTAAAGGCAAATAGACTCTTGATGCTGTTAACCAGGACTGATGTCACAGTCAGTGTCCTGTTTGGACACCGGGGGCAGCCTTCCCTCAACTATGTATTTCAATGTACCAATATGACAGTTAATGATCCCATGTCAGGGTCAGGTGACCCTGCTGGCTGGGATACACAGCGCTGAGCAAGCATGAGTTCACTGTAATCCCAGTTTTTTTTATTTGTTTAGATCAAAAGTACAGAACCTGCTAACTCTTTAATTCTCAAGAAAGATGATAAAATGTATGGTGAAAAGGCGGATCAGAAAAACTGTCTGGATCCTCAGGGTGAAATTGCTGAAAGTAAAAGTATAATATAATATAAACAAAGCTGTGTACTTATTGCTCCCCCTTATTTTAAGTCTCACTGGAACATCTAGCTGTGCCATTCCATACGGACTCATCTCCTTTGCATGAGAAAATCCAAATAATGATTTACTGAAGACACAAACAAAACCTGTGCAGCTTCATTAGCTTTTCTCATTTAAACCCACTTACTTCCAACATAATAAACCATTCGCTTCAGCTATATATTTATATACATATTTTAATGATCTGAGTTTACATAACAGGGTTGCAGGAGGGCGTCATGGCCGATGAAACACCCGACTTCACCTCCACAGACTACTGTAATTCAGTAGCGATATTTGATCACAGCGTCCTATTGTGCGTAAGCGTCTGAGGAGTAAATGTGAAAACAATGAGGCAGTGATTTGAAAACTCTCCGAGTATATATCGCGTTCCTTTTAGAGAATGTGATGGCAAAAAAATAAGAGCTACGAGAGTGTAATTTGAGGTGCCAGCACAGAAGGGTTGGGTCGTGCTGCTTCATATTTCAAATAGTGTTGTTATGAAAAAGCGTGAAACCAGCCAGACAGGACAGGAAACAGGTCCTACATAAAATACTGGGTTTCCCTTAAAAAATAAAGAAGACCCCCAGACAAAACCCTTACCACCAGGGAGACCAGAACCCATTGTCTTTCAGGTTCAGTTTACACCGATTTAAATCTCTGATTTGAATCTCATGTCAAACCTTTTTTTTTTTTTTTTTTTTTGCTGTGTTTACTGAGGTTTTGTCAGGAGAGAACAGTTATCTTTCCAGGACAATCCACTAAACACTGAAAAGAGTGTTAGAACGTTATCTGAACAATCAGGGAGTCCTGTTCAAACAGAGCCCGGAGCTCAGAGCAGGAAACACGAACACCAAATATAAAGAACCGACAGAAATGAGACAAAAAAAGCTCATATATTTAATATACCTGATATATGGTATGGTGTACTGCACTAAAAATAACACTTGGTGAATATTAGCTGCACCCTCACAATACTGTTTTTTTATACAATATATATATTTTAGATATATTTTATGAGCAGCAGAGTGATACAAAGAGTGATAATAAACTGAGCAACTCATTTTTAAATTCAACATTTTTTAAAATTGGGAAATATATATATCTTACCTTTTCTATTGACAGATAACGGCTTAAAGATCGTGCCTTTTTCCAACTCTATAACTCAAAATGTTCACCATCAAATATGCCCTAAGGCAGGTTACTAGTGAATGTCAAAGTTGTATCAGTTTAAATGCGTCCGCCTTATCAGAAAAGGTCCAACATTTACGTTTGAGCTTACACACACACACACGCAGCTCCCGTGCAGGACAATAGGCCACTGGCTGATTATATTGGTGGCGTGCATCTACGGCTAAGGTCAAAGGTCACCCTTTGAGACAAATGTTATCTGAAAGGCTGCACACTGTATACTCTGGGGGCAATTTCTGAGGATCACCACGTGTGGGCATGACGAACACAAAGCCTAGAATAGTAAATAATGAGAGGTGGACAAGAAAGTCATAAAAAAGAATGAGCAGAGTGCTAAAGATGTGTGTCTGTGGTATAAATATGAGGGGCAAATGTGCAGTAGGAGCGGGACTGGCACCAAGGAAGACGCAGAGAGAGAGCACCACAGGTGGAACTGACTGGATGACCACAGCGAGACGGTGACTAAAACCAGAAGACTCCGAGATTCAGAGTAGAATTCCATCTTACTGGAAACCACAGGTAAGACACAACCAGGAGTTCATAACATCTGATAATGAATTCCGTGCCTGTTCTCACTCATCCAGGACGTCTGCTCCTAATCTGTGATGGTTTTGTTTCAGACATGGCAGACACAGCAGGCGTACTCCTGGTACTGTTGCTGGTCCTCAGTGCTGGAGTGCCGTGTAATTCGGTGTATAACAGCGGGGAGTGCTTTTTCAACACTAAAGGTTTGTGTTTGGGATTAGTTTCATCGACCAATTCCTCTAACTGCACGTGCTGATGATCAGACTTTCATTTTCAGGGAGCTGTGATCACATGGGACAGACGTATGGAATTGGAGAGAGCTGGATCACCGACGACTGTTTCCAGTGTGTCTGCATGGAGCCCTTTGGAGTAGGATGTTGTGATTAGTGAGTTTCCTTTAACGACTTAGAAGAAAGCAAATGACCATCTGACGTGAAGCTAATGAAATATTAGAGCAAAAAAAAGAGAACTAAGACTCTATTATAACATTACTGTATATACTGTAAAAACTGCATTTTTAATGTCTTGTTTAATTTATATATTGTCTATTTTCAAGCTCTACAACTTGGAAATCCAATATAGTAAAATATACAAAACTCAAAACAAAACGATTAACTAAAAAAAAAGAAGAAGCTCCTAACGAGTAAAAAAATAGTTGCCAAAATATTTTTTAGACGAGTCAAAAAATAGTTGCCAAAATATTTTTTAGGGGAAGGGACCTTTCTCATCTTTTACACGTGTCTAAATGAGTGTGATGTGATGTGATTTTCTCTCTTTGCCCCGCAGTGGATCTAAACCTGTTGACTATCCAGACTGGTGTGAGATCATCCGGAAACCTGACTCGTGCAAAAGTGTCGCGGTGATGAGAGCCAATCATAAACTTCCATGTCTCTGGGGACGAGGACGTCTTAGAACAGCTGCTGGTCAACCATGGAAATCCAACAATGACCCTATGTTTTGATTTGAGCAACGGCAACAATTGATGTTGTTGAATTGATGAATAGCGAGTGATTACAACCTTTACTTAACTTTGTTTTTATTTATTTCTAGGTATTTTTCTCAGTGTTTCTGGTCTATTAAAGAATAACTCGACTTCATTTTGTGATGTTGTTTTTACAGTATCAAAATAATCATAGTTTACAGGATAATACAGACATGTAGGTGGGAGTGATTCAATTCACATTATTTTAATCTACCAGAATATGCTAAAGATTATTTAAGGGTTTGGTATGTATGGTTAGCTTGGCCACAGTTGCTACATGTACGGTTCGGCAAAAACACATCGGATAGCATGCTATGTGCATATTGTCTTTATTAGAGAGCAGTTATTTTCCCCTGTGGCCGGGATCAGAAGTAAACACAGTAAAGCATCGGAATAGTTGAATCGAGGGGCAGGGATTTTTAAATGTGTACTTAGCACCATCTATCGGCAAAAGAAACGAAGCACTACGCTTAATGCCAAAATTACAAACAATCTTCATTTTGATATCAGATCACCAATTTCAATTGTTCTTTAAATAATATTCTCTCTATTTAAATAACAGTTCTTCAAAAAAACAGCACTTTTGCTTAAAATTATCCTCCAAAATTAGCTTTGCTAATTTTTATGGCGCTATTTGTTTTTAATTTGGACAAATACATAAATGCTATTTATCTCTCCGTCAACGTGTAATTGTCTCTACAGATACTACAATTATTTACCGAATTGACGTTGAAGCATATTTAACGTAGTCACGTTTAGTAGCTGTTTACAGTTAAATACAATACAGTTTTATTTTGAAAGTCCAAGTGGCGGCGCAGTGTTTCAACGTCATCAGTTGGCGCGGTGTGAGTTACCACTGGTATTAGTTGTACTGTGATTGAAGTTTATTATTTTATTTTATTAAACGTTGTGGCCTTTTCTTTTTGACGCGCTGAATGACAGCGACACAGACGGAAGTGAAATGTGGATACTGACGCCGCTGCACTCCGAAGGAGGTACTTCATTAACTCACTCACTGTTTACTGTCAACGTTTACATTTTCTAAAGAAGCCACTGAAGTTGAACTATCGCTAAACCAGTGACGTGCGTTGAGGTGTCATGGCTGCTGAGGCACTGACTCCTCTGGAGTCAGATTTACAATTGTAAGAACCGAAAAGAGCATCTTATTTCACTATTCGGACATTACCCAGCATGCACCGGGTAATGTGATCCCATCAGGATTCCTCTTTAAATGACATTTACACCAACACAAACATATACACAGGAACATATCTGTCCCACCAAGAACGTTTCTTTTATAGAAATGGATCCAGTGGATTCAAATTTACTGTAAACAAATTAAAGTATAGAGAAGAGTGCAGCACACATTTAATTGTGTGCCTTCAGTAAAAAATGCAGTTATTTTTCAAACTTTAAATTCTGCTGCTTTAATCAAATGTTGTATATCAAAATAAGAATACATTAAAACAGTTTAGGCCAAAAATGTAGTTATCAAATATATATTAAAAAATTCTACCTACTCCCATCTTATTTTCAAAAAACAATAACTTTTTTAGCCTTACCTTCACTTATTGAAGTCCATGGTTGTATCTCTCGGTTTTCCCATTGTAGACGCTGATGTTTAGGGTCCGTTGCTCATCCAATGGCAAATCGATCCTTGAATATCCAAAAAGTTTTTAAAGAAATCTGGCTTCGAATGTGCGTGGCTGATCTTTCGTGTCTGCCGAGGCTTCTTTGTAAATTATCCAGGTCACAGTGTCCCGAGTTAGTCCAGACGTCATCACACGATGAGAATAAAAGGCAAGGAAAGCAGTGAAGGCGGTTACAGGACAGACACACAGCCAGTCTTTTCATTTGTACCACTCCATTTAAAAAGAACGACTCTTCTGCCCCGTAGTTTGAAGCACACATTTTAGCTGCGGCGTTGGTCTTCCATCACTTATCACCTTCTGTTTGGACCGGAAGTCCAATTTTGAGAAATGTTTTAGTCATGAAATACAATCCATAGTCATTCAGATCAGACAGAGCATAAAAAACGCTGTTCTTGACCAACTTCTTGCTCTAGCTTGGCGCCGACTTTCAATTGCCTGTTAAAGCCAGCTGGAGAGCGCCTGTCAGTTCACGTACGACCCCTTGAGGTGAGGCAGAGTACTGTTTGCCTCCCCTGCTGACTTTTCTTTCCACTTTCTTGTACGAAGATACGCACATCTATGTTCATGTACGGTATGTGGTACCTTTTGTCAGTTACATGAAATAAGGACATTCTCCCTGCCTCCCTCAGGGGGGACCCACTATCTCGTGGTGTAAAAACGCCGACATCCTTCTTGCCAATGACCAGTCCATCAGCAGGTCTCATGCGTCCCTCAGAGCTACTGACCAGGTAAGAAGAAGAAGAAGAAGAACGTGGTGTCAGCATTTTTTTGTTCACTGACCAAAAATGGGACTACTAAGGTATAAGTTCGGATCGAGCAACATTTTGATAAATTGCTAATACAGTACTGGGTGTACCTTGTGGAAAACACCAGGTTTATACCATTGTTATCCACACGATGGTGCTGTTACTTAGGTTATGCGTATTAGATAGTTTTTCTCCATGGATAACTGTCCATCCTCAGTTAAATTTAAATCGCATTCATTAATAAACCAAAACATCACCGTCAGGAGTGGATTTGTTGTGTTTTTCTCCTAGACTGTGACTTTAAAAGACACCTCCAAGTACGGAACCTTTGTCAATGGTCAGCGTATGACAGAGAACACAGCAGTCGGCCTAAAGTCAGGAGACCAAGTGACTTTTGGAGCCTTCAACAGCAAATTCAGGTGTGAGACGGCAACAAACTCTGGTCCTTTTTGTAACTCCACAAAAATCTTAAAATCTCTACCTGTATCACATTTCCCTGTTCTGCTGTGTTTTTTTCCCAGTTTGGTCTTTCTGAAGCCAGTTGTCTGTTCATCGTGTTTGGACAATGGTGACAAGGCATCCTTGTCGAGTGCTCTGCAGTCTTTGGGAGGGAAGCTGGTGAACTCCTGGACTCAGGACTGCACCCACCTGGTCATGAATACAGTTAAAGTCACCATCAAGGTTCTGACGTCACCATGAAAACCTTCATGTTTATTTACGTTTGTCCATAAATGTGTGCTGACGTGCTCACCTGTTCTTCTGACCAGACCATCTCTGCGCTCCTGTGCGGCCGTCCCATTGTGAGGCCAGAGTTCTTCTCGGAGCTAAACAAGGCCGTGCAGAAGAAGCTGCCACTTCCTGGAGCAGAAGGGTGAAACGCAGAACATTTACCCCTCCGTGTAAACACATTAAAGACTTGGCTTTGAGAAAACCCATCTCACCTTTAATGTTGTTTGTTTCTTAAGCTTCATCCCTGACATTGATGAGCCCAGCTTGAACAAAGATGAAGTCAACCTCACGGTGCTTCCAGTTCGCCGACAGCTTTTCGCTGACAAGACCTTCGTTTTCCTCAGTGCCAAACAGGTTTGTTGCCTTTATCTTTTGTGGCATAATTTAATGTGTCATTATCCTCAAACTGGGCCACACGGTGGATCATGTTTGCCTTGTGCTTGCCTTACAGCAAAGTCCCTTTTGTTGGTTCAATCTTGTGTTGTTCTGTGTGCAGTTTCCAGAAATTGAAAAAGTTTCATTTAAAGTTCATTTAAAAAAAAAACCCAAAAACATCAGTCCGTCTACTAACTTAACACTTACTCGTCTCTAAATTTGAGCATTTATTGCAGTGTTAATTTAAGTGTATTTCATATATATTTTTCTCCTGAGTTGGGATGACGAAGCTCTTCACTCGTTATAATGAGAGCTGACTCCTCACTGTGTAATTGCCTGTTGTTGTTTTTAAGTCATTAGTCTTAAGAAATGACGGAGAGACACGTGATGTTGTTAGCTCCGTGTTTATCAGGCGATCGTCAGTAACCAGGCAGACAGCAGCCTCAGGTCCTCAGAGAGAGACGCTGCTCCAGTAAATAGAGTGGAATGAAGTGAAGCAGGAGACAAGTTTTTCATACTCAAAATCACAACTTGATAAAAAATATATATGATAAAATATTTGTATATATGTATCAAGAGAAATATAATATTTCAGCACAGCTAATGTAAGGAAAGAATCAAACATCTCTTTGATGTACATGGATGCAGCATCATCATCATCATCCCATGAAAGGAATGCTTTTTAAAATAAATTAAATATTCATGGACCAGTGGAATGGTTTCGGAGCAGCTCTGGTCATAACTGGTGAAGGAAAGAATGTAAACATCAGTGTCAGTAAACAATGCTGTCTGTTTGTCTTTGCCTTGCTGTTTGCAGCTGAAGCGTCTGAGCACAGCTGTGGGTTTTGGCCGAGGTCAGAGCCGGTTGCTGGAGGAAGGCTCTCTGCCCCGGGACCTGCTGGAGTCGCCACAAAGTTGTGTGGTTGATGCCACAACAGGAAGTGCCCAAACTCTGACTTCCTCCGCCGCCAAGTGGGCAGCCTCTGTGAAGAACATCGTTCAGAGGTCTCACACACACACACACACACACACACAGCACAGGTTTAATTCTGCGGAGTGACCAGTAGGAGATGACCCGTTCGTTTCTCCAACATAGAAAAGGCCTCAGAGTCATCACAGAGTCTGAAATTGGATTGGCGGCCATCTTTGCCTCCTGTGACAAATACTGTAATCCAAGCAGTCGGACCCCAGAGTCAGGTGGGAGATGAGTCCCATTTGATGTTATGGACAATCTCTCTAGATTATTTTTTTTAAAACAACAACTTCGTCCTCACTGCCCACACTGATTTGTGTTCCAGAGGCAGCACTGCCCCTGGTGGCCAGACTCCCAGGTGCTTCACTGTCTCAGACCGTGGCGGTGGATGAGACCGTTTTACCAGCAGCATCACAAAATGTCACGGTCTACGCTGTGAACACAGAGCAGCCTGAAGGGTAACAGTTGATGCACGATGTTTGAATTAATCAGTGGGCGATGAGTTCCTAAACTTGGCACTTTCTCCCTGTTGTTTGACTTCTGTGTTTTTGTGTGTGTTGTCCAGGTTGGACGACTGTAACGCTCCTGAAGTGACAGCAGTAGGAGAAACGCCCGAAAAGAAGCAAAAGCAGGACATGAATGTGTTCGGTGCACCCAGAGTCGTGTCTGACAGGCTTCCATCTCCGCCTGTCGTGCCTGACACGCTGAGCGTCCCGTCTGTGGACAACACAGAGTCACAGAAGAAGAAGTCGCTGTCCAGACTCGGAGGTAGCCGCGGGAATAAAGTGATGAAAAATGCAGCAACGCTCTGGTTTCTCCACTGAATACTGAGTTTGAGTTTGATATTTAGAAATGATTTTAAGGCAAACAGTAAGATCAAATGTGTTTTTTTAGGAAAGGACAGTCATGTTAAATCCTCTTCGTCTTCATCCTCCTATAATGTGGACGTTTGGATGAAGACATCTGCACCGAAATCATCTCCACAAAAAACTCCAGCACAAATCTCTCCTCAGAAACAGACGACACTGACCAACTTCTTTCAGAGAGCCAGTAAAAAAAGGTAAAAACTGTAAACATTTGTTCAAATCATTTCAGGCGTTAATATTCAGACATGATGTTAATATGAAGTATATCTGTCATTTTCCTCGTGTTTTTTTTATTTTATTTTTTTTAAACAAGGCCTCTCGACGATGAGTTCTCCACAGTGATGTCAGAGCCAAAACGACCTGTTCTGGAATCTTCCATCAGGGAGAGACAAGAGCCAGGAACTTCACACACAGCTAGAGGAACACACTCCACGTCCAGAATCTTCTCTCCAGCTGTGTCTCAGTCCTCACTGGGGACAGAAGCTGATTTGTTCACAAGACGTTCACGTTCTCCAGAGCGTATCGTTCAAGAGGAGTCACGGAGCAGAAAGAGGAAGGAGATGGAGGAACAGATACAGATGGAGGAGCTGGAGTCCATAATGTCTCAAGACATGGATGTGATGGACGACTGGTCCCCAGGCAACCGAGACCAGCCAACACCGCTCAAAGGCCAAAGTTCAACTTTACAGAAACACAGTACGGTGGAAGCTCAACCTTCAAGCAAGAGGTCGCGTGTGACTGTGGAGGTCGGAGGAGACGCCCAGCAGGCTTTGGTGGAACCAGAGAAGAAGAACCAACAACAAAAACCTCAGCCATTTGTTGTCTCTGTTAAGAAAGAACTGACAGTCGCATCAGAGAACAAAGCTCACACGTCCAGTGGAGCTGCAGACGCCGCCGCCAAAAACAGAAAACAAAAATCATCTTTGATCGAGGTGAGGAGCAGAGATTCTGTTTTGTTTGCTCTGGCTTTTCTTCTTTGTCCAATCACTGATCTGAGTTATGGTTTTTACTCCAGAAGGACATTGAAGGTCCGATTGATTGTGAAGAGAAGATTAACACACCAGTGGAACCAGTGAAGGTCAAACAGGAAGTCCAAGTGAGTGCTCTGAAAATATGCCTTCAGTTGGATTGAACTCCTTAAATCCACGTGTCGACAGGAGATCTTTGAAAAGCTCCAACCTTGATGTGCTGTTTCACAGGATCCCAGGATTGATGAGAACCTTCCTAAAAACCTGCTGCTGGTGGAGTTTCGATCCCTCACCGTGTGTGTACCGTCCCGAAACCAAGCAAAGCAGCCGCTCAGCAACAGCCACGCCAAGAACTTCAAACGTTTCCGCAAGGTCAGACTTTGACACAGCTAAAACAGAGCAGTGGAAGCAGATTTATTTTTTATTTTTTTTAAAAAAGTCAGGATTGATTTTTTCCCTCTCAGTGCCGAGTTCCCGCTTTTTTTTTTTTTTAAAAGTCAGGATTGATTTTTTCCCCTCTCAGTGCCGAGTTCCCGGAGTGGACGGATCAGCAAAAGTCATTGGACAAACCGACCTGCTGGTTCACAATAGGATTCAGAACATGGAAGTGAATGAGTGGTTGAAAGAAGCAGCTGAGGTAACTGTGATCCCTCTGTCCTCCGTGTCTGTCCTCCATGTCTGTCCACGCTGTACGTCACTGACTGAAGCTGCTGTTTGTTTCAGGAGGAAAGTCAGAGCCGACGGGACCAGACGTTAGGAGACGACCTCTTCAGGTGAGAGACGGTGGTTCACGTTTGTACCACAGTAGGTCCAGGAGATTCAGACACAAAGTCATGTTGGTTTTGTGTCTGAATCAGAATTTCAACTAGTGCATCTCATGAATAATAATGTAATATTACACACCATAAATAGTACTGAAGTATTGGGATGTAAGAAATCATCCATACACTGAAATATCTCCATATTGATACTGATACTGGTATTGATACAGCACTGTACTTATTGAAAATTAACCTATAAAATCTTAACACTAATGGCTAGCCATCAGTGTTAAAAATGTCCATTTTATTTAAGCCTGTTTCAAACCCACTCTTTAATGATTATTTATAGATTGTTTTTTTTATTTAGTAATAATTTCTTCCATCCTCCTGTTATTAAAGTCCAGTCCAAGGTCAGGACGTGCGTCACTGTTTCAATGCTGATTCTGTTAGGGTGGAGTTAGTGTCATCACACTCACCTATGTCTCTGATTAGTCTCACTCCTGCCACCTGGTGCCCTGGGTAGATATACTGTAGCTCCCTCCCTCACTCTGTCTTGGTGGGATTATTTTGTTCTGCGTGGACGTCGTGGAAGCAGATAGGACCCAAATGTGACACCAGGGAGACTCTCTTCAGGTGCAGCGTGATTTATTTACAAAGTGTGAATTAACCAAACAGGACGAGGCAAAACTCTAAGTGTGACTTAACCAAACAGGACGAGGCAAAACTCTACATGACATGGACCACAGCAAAACATAAACTACAAGGACATGGACTGCAGCAAAACATAAACTACAAGGACATGGACTGCAGCAAGGCATGGACAGAACAGTCACGACAGCTACAGACTCAAACAGCACCATGATCCCCACAAGACAGAGTGAGGGAGTGAGGGAGGTATATATACCCAGGGCACCAGGTGACACCAGTGAGACTAATCAGAGACACAGGTGAGTGTGATGACGTAAACTCCACCCAGCAGACAAGACAGGAAGTAAGAACAGACGGCCCTAACAGATTCAGTGATGAAATCGTCAAATCAAATTGTTACCATTCTGCAGCCGTCGTCGTTATAATCAAGTGCAGACACAAACTTCAGCGTCTGAAAATTATGGATATGCCCGTGTGCAGCTTCAGCCGGACCAATCGGGACGTGACGAAATGATTATGTCATTACCGGTCGTCAAGGCAACCAGTGACGTCAGCTGCCAACTGTGTTTTCTTTGACTAAGCAGAAAAAAAAGTACAGTGTGCAGCTATACTTGTGAGGACCATCCTTTATTTTATTTTATTTAGAAAAATGTTCTAGAGATTATATTTAGGGTATGGATGAAAATTAGACATATTTTTTTTAAGTTTACGATTACGATGACGGGGTGAAGTGCTCATAAAACACCAAATCCTCCCTCTGTCTGTGGAAGTTTACGATTACGGTGACGGTGTGTGTGTGTGTGTATGCACACGTGTGTGTGAGAAGGGGAGAGGGTCTGAGCTGTTTGATCACCGGCTCATGCTCAGTCAGTCGTGCGGAGCCGGGAACAGATTCTGCTGCTAAGAAAACAGTGCTGTGTTTTTTGGTGCGCTGAGACCAAGTTTCCAGACGTGTTTTTTCACCAAGTCTGTTTGTTTTAAGCTGTTCAAACACAGTTTTACAGCAGTTCATCTGGCCTGTTGTCTTGTTTGTTCAAAACCTCCTGCAGGACAGTGAAGGATGATCCACGAGGAATGTTAAAAGCCCATTCTGATATATGCTCTGTGTGTGTGTGTGTGTGTGCGCAGGTACAACCCCAGCAAACTAACCAGGAAGATGAAGTCATAAGAAGCTGTGGAAGATAATCCAGAACAAGAAGACGTCCATATACAACAAAAAAATTATGTTCTTTTGTTATAAACGTGATTATAACAACACTATAATGTCAATAATCAGAACACGGAGCTGATGTCGACCCTGATTTTACTGTTCTGTCACTTCTCCTTCTGTTCTATCGCACCTCAGTGTTTTTATTTCAACTGATCGAGGAATGTAAGAAGAAGAAACGCTCGTGTTGTCCAGGGTGTTTTTTTTTTCTCCAGGTTTTATTTGTCAGGAATATAAAAATGACATAAAAATATTAAAAATTCTTCCATCATACAAGAAAGTTTCATACCATCATCATTAACCTCATTAACAACTTGGAGTAGCCTCTGATACCGATGTCATTCCAGTACCTTTTTTTCTCCTCCAGAATCCCACAGTCTGTCATTGCTGAGGCGATATGTCCATGTTTACGGCGTGGTTGTTTTTTTATCTGAAATATTGACCAATATCACAGCGACACCTGAGTAATGGATCAAGACATCCCTAGTTTTTCCTGCCTTTTCTGATGCAACTAAAACTGTACTGTCATCAATAAAAGAAAAAGAAAATCTTCAGAAATTCATAATTGAAAGTGTTCAAGAACTTCAGCTGAAAACTCACTGCTATGAAACTAAAGCGTCCATACATTAGTAGCTGTTAAACAGTAATTAACTAGGAAATGTATAAAACAGAATAGTAATGTTTTTTTTTTACCACCAGCGCTGACTCTGCTAAGCTACTGAACCACACTGTTACATTGACAGTGAGTAAGCAGCGAGTTCACACACACACACACACACAGAAGAACTGTGTGTCCAAAGGAAGCCGACATTGTTGCAGAAAAAACAATTCATTGTCACCGTTGGTGACTAAGGTTCTTAGATAATGCATAAGAAATGCATTTAAGGAGAAAATTGTCAAGAGAATTACAACACCAAAACACAAAAAGCCCAAATTATGAATATTTCTGAAATACCAGAAATAGAACAAACAAAAATTTAAATGCTTATACCAGCTTCAAATGGATTTTGGTTGTTTTTCATGCACTTGTTGTTTAACCAAAAACTTTCAATATAAAAGAAATAAAAAGATTCTGAATTGAAATATTTGTTGTCAGAATTTTCTATTCCAAGTTGAAAACTTTAAAAACTTTGTGTGCATTGTAAAAATGCTCCCGTGTTCGAATTTATAAATTCAGACCTGTGTTGAACTTTGTTGACAAAATAATCAAACCACATCCACGCAGTTGAAAAAGTCGTGAGGTGACAAAATAATCAGACCATATCCACGCAGTTGAAAAAGTCGTGAGGTGTTAAAACTCCCGACCTCCAAATACACCAGTGTGTACTGCACTTGGAATCCCTGCTTCAAATAAAGTCATTTCCTCCGTTACTGATGAGTTTCTCTTTCTTTTTGAGTCTCTTCAGCAGACAGGAAGTGATGCCCAAAGCTCCGCCCTTCAGGAAGCGAACAAAGTTGTCTCCCACCAATGGGCCCATTGCAAAAAGACCCGGTTCCTTGGTGCATTCAAATGTGTACGGGTAGATGTCAACGGGGTTTTGTTTGCAAGATATAGGTTTCGTTGGATCCTGTCCCAGGTACTGGCCTTGTCCCTTCAGGAAGAATAGGTCTGGGTTTGTCCCGATCAGCACCAGGGCCATGGAGACCTTGAATGCCTTCAGGGTGTTTATGCCCTGCAGCAAACATTTCATGTCAGACTGAAAAGACACCACGCAGTGATCAGGGAAACTGGTGTAGTCTGGGAACAAGCCCACGCTGGCATTACCACCTGTGGCCAGTTGGGGCTTCGGACACATTTTGGCACAGACTGAGGAGGCGATACTGACCGCCTGGGCTCTGTTTGGAGCAGGGGAGGGAGTCACATTCTTGTAGGTCTGAGAGCACATCATGTTGTAAACTTTGTGGTACTCTGGATACAGGGTCTTAGGCAGCTGTTTGAAGATGAGGTCCGAGTCCTCCGTGCTCTTACGGAAAACGTGCAGCACCCTGACGTTGCTGTTGCAGGCACACAGAACCGCATCTGCCGCACTCAAACCAGCGCCTACCACCAACACCGGGTCAGAGTTCATATCCAGCTGCCCTCGACCTAGAGCCAAGCCCAGGTCTGAGATACTGTGGTACACAAATGGCAGGTCCTCGCCCTCGACGCCCAAGCGGATCGGTGAATCTGACGCGCCGGTGGCCAGGACGACGTTTTCGGCGAACAAACAGAATGGGATGTGGGCGTTGTTCTGCACCTGCTGATATCCCCGTACTTCCCAGAGAACACACTCAGCTCCATTGTTTTCACACTCAACCCCACTTCCCTCAAAGACCTCATTCCCACCGTCGCCCAGGCCCAGGTCGGCTCCGATACTGTGTCCAAGCTCCACAACCTCCTCGCTGCGCCCTCGGCACAGTTTCTGGATGGAGGTCACGTAGGTGTTCTCTACAAAGTTCTTTTGAAGGCCTTTGATCTTCACGTAGTTTTGGTAATAGGATGAAATCTCCTCGGGAGTTGCTCTGTCATTGGTTGTATCCCTACAACGTGTGGAGAAGAACATGAGGAACTGGACTAAAGTAGAACAACGTCTAGACCAGGGGTCACCAACGTGGTGCCCGGGGACACCTGGTAGCCCTTGTGGACTACCTGAGGAGCCCGTGGGGTATGTTGCTCTCTGAATCAGTTACAAAAACGGGGTCAGAAATTGTACTGTAACTGTGCTCTCTGAATCAGTTACACTTGTGAGGTGTCTAGTACTCTACGTCCCAAAAGGTCGGTGACCCCTGGTCTTGTCTCTATGTCAACTTTTGTCATTACCTTTGCTTGTCATTTGTTAGGTCTCTGTAGTTGACTCCAGGAAGCTCCATCCAGATGCCAAGACTGATGGTCAACATCGACCCTTCCATTGCCTGACAAGAGGAGAAAACATTGAAAATGGGGCAAAAAAAGGGAAGATTTGGTCGAAAAGACACACGATCAACTTTGTAGCTCACATGCCAAGCTCCTCCAGGTGAGGATCGTCCCAGGACCAAATGTGGGATGTGATGTTGCTTGTCCTTCCTCCACTGTAGGACAGAAGGAAACTCGTAGCCAAAGTCAGCATTGGGGTGAAGCAGCGTGTCAAAGAGGACGGCCACGGGATTTCTTGACCTTCCCTCAAGGCCTTCACTCAAGTATTCCAGATCCTGTAAAACAACAGGGTCACCATCGCTTCAACTGTGACATGTGCACATATGCAGACGATGTGTTACTGTTCATACCTGTTCAGTGATAGGTAAATGCTTGGTCTCCTGTAGTTTCCTGTACAGTATTTGGTTTGGGTGGACAGTTGTTGTATCCAAGTAGGGTTTGTATCCACTGAGTAGGTAGGACAGACATATGCCTGAAGGACCGTTACCTACGAAGCAAACCCAGGTTTCAGAGATAGCAGATTGTGACGGAGAACAAGTTTCAACAGACTAAGAAGTCAGTGGATTCAGCTGAAGCAGCTAACCTATGATGACAACAGGGACTGTGGGTGGGTGGTCTTGAGGCAGAGCGGTTTCTTCCAGAAGAGGCATGTCGGCTGCCTGGGCCAGAGCTGCCACTGAAGAGACACAAAATAATGATGTAATAACGACAAGGATTTCAGACAGTTTCTATGTTGGAAATCACATTGAAATCTTGACTCAAGTATTAAGATGGGACCCAGAAAGTGGACCAGAAGTAGCAGAGAGCCACCAGCTGACAATGACAATTAATCGTGATTGATCGAGATAGATCAATCCAAAATATAACCAACACCAAAGAAACCAAAGTTTATATTAGTGAAACGGAAATAGATCGATTTAGAAATGAATTCATGCAATGAACAGAAAGATACTGTAAAAAGTCACTAGACAAAACCACTCCAGATCTTCCTTTGCCCTTTAACAGAAGAAGCACATTTTTGTTGACATAGTATTTTGAAAAAGTCACAGCTTTTTATTTTTTGGCATTGACGTTGGTGAAACAAAATTTTGTTGACACAGTATTTTTAAAAAGTCACAGCTTTTTTTTTTGGCATTGACGTTGGTGAAACAACATACAATTTGGTTTGAGAACATCCAGATGTCTCGGAATTGGATTAGATTTTTCAGCCACACAACATAATCTTATAAACAGTCCACAGTTTTGTTTTTGTTTTTGTCACATCAACACACACACACTCCCCTTCCTGTAAACCATAACACACACTGGGACCTGTTCCTGTTGACCCTGGTACCGCTGGCTAAACAAAAGCCACTTCTAATCAGCTTTGTGTGGGCTTCAGCATGTGTACAGTGCAGGGTGTTTGTGTGAAGTTTGACGGTACCATTGTGTGCCCGGGGGGCAGCAAATCCCCTCTGACCGCTCCTCAGTGGGCCCTGAGCCCTAATCCCACCGGGCCTGTTCATGTCTTCTTCCTCTTTCAGTGGCAGCAGGATGAGAATGTGGCCCTGGCGCTCCAAACCGACTGAACCCTCACAGCTCCTCCTCTGACGTCCACGGCCAACGCACACACACACACCATCTCTACCCAGTTTGAATGTAACTGAAAAGCTGCTCCAACCGCTTTTGTCTCGGACTTTGATACCCTGGCTCAGTTTCTCTAAACTCCATGTCTCCCGGCTGCCGGTTCCAGTCCGCCTCACTTCACATGCCTCCCTTCATTTCCTCCCTTATCTCTCTGTCTGTCTGAGCGGCATCAGTTTGTCAGTGAAAACACTGGGATTCAACACACTTCCTGTATGTATTTCTGCACACTTTCAGTCGCCCATACGTGGGGCTATAACTGTGCTGCTCATTAACCTTGGTGTTGACTTTAATGGAATCATTTGCCATCCTGCCACATCATTAGCTTTACATTAGACCTCAATATTATGACTTAAGTCCATAAGAAAAGTCAAAAGTTTTAACTTTTTTCTTGTAATATTCCGACTTTTTAAACTGTCTCTGACTTAGATTTTTATTTTTTTCAGCTTTATTATTATAAAACTGACTTTTTGTCCTGTAACATTACACATTAATCCTCATAAACGCACGACTTTCTCCTCAGTAAACCTGCAACTTTATTCTCATATTTGAATTTCGGGTCGTAAACTTACGACTCTTTTTTCCTCATCTCTTTAGCTCTAACACTCTGTGGTGGCTCACATCGCCTTCATGTTGCTGTTAAAGATAAAGAGTGACACTCCTCATCATCATCATCTTCATCATCATCATCCTCACAGACCCACACAGTCACCGGGCTCCCACTACAGCAGCAGCCCACTGAGTCACGAGGAGCACCACCATCTTCACCGTCGTTGCATAACTCAGTTCCGCCGCGGACTCACTGACATTCACGCCACTTTGTGAAGGAAATCATTTCTTACCGCACAGAGTTAATGACGTCTCTCTGTCCAGACAGCGTCCAGTTGTTAACACGACCTGCAGCAGCGGCTCTCAGCCTTTAAATAGCCCGGAGCAGTCACCGGTGGGAGGACCCGTGCATCCATCCATCCTCCAACTGTGCGGGATGTTGCATGAGACGAGGACACATCTGACGTCATCGCCGCCGTCCACGGACACTCGCGCGCACACACACACACAAACTTCGTCTCCACCCAGTCAACCGAGCGGATTTGCGCTATTTAAGAACGTGAACTGTTACACACACACACACACACACACACACGCCATCACTACCTCTCTCGCGCACTCTCATTCTCTCTCTCTGCGTGACTGACTATGTACTCTCTCTTTTGGTTCCTTTTGTTTTGACGTCACACGCGCCCTCACGTTGAGGACGTGAGCGCGCATTTCAGGTACAAAGATACAGAAAGGAAAGCGTTGTTTCTTTAAGTGACGTGCACTGGAAAGTAATGGAATAAAACGATCACTTGGAATCGAATTAATTAGGCCATTCATTAGTCATAATTAATGGGCCAATGTTAAAGTGTTTCGGTCTATTTTTAGTCAGGCTGTGCGTTGGTGCAAAATAGACACAGTCAAATAAGTGAACACGTTTCCATATTTTTACTAGAAATTTATTTGTTTTTAATACACAGTGAATTAAGCGAGTTTAAAGTGGCGCTGATAAAGTCAACATACCTGCCTTACACATGTTTAAAATAACATAAGAACCAACAACAACAACAACAACAACAATAATAATAATAATAATAATAAATAAATAAAAGTGACACGTGTTAATAAAAATAATGAAGTGATCAGTTTATCCCCGCCTCTCGATGTCATTGTCCAATCAGGTGCGAGAAAAGTCCAAAACTTCCTGTTTCGACAGTGACACGCGTGTGTCGGCAGCTAGCTCAGGTTTTAACGCAGTAAAGTGTCAATAAGCTCTTCATAATGGTCCACCTGAGCAGAATCTACTTCCGGAAGGTGTGTAACAAAATCGACATGGGTAGCATCGCCGTCATAACTGTATAAATGATCATTTTATAGCTGTGACGGTGTCACTAACGTAGTGACATTGGCAGAGAAGCTAGCCGGCTAACCTGTAACTTAACCTCAGAATATTTTGTCTTAATACTGTACTCTCAGAAAAGAGTATTTACTCTATATATTTTACTTGTACTCCACTATTAGACAGCAGCTGTTATATTATTTTTCTATTTGAGCGTTTAAAACGACAAGTTTTGATATTCAGAGATGAGTTTTCTGTAGTAAAGTACAGTATTCATGCAAACAGTGGACGTTCTTAATGGATAAACCTGAGTGTATCACAGTGACGTGTTAGTATTTATGCAGTGACAGAGATTGACTACGCAAAATCTATTTATACTAACTTTTATTACACATTTGTAGACACTTAATTTCCTGTCATCAGGCAATTTAAAAAATATATCACTTAGCCTTAAAATGCTCTGACTATTTTCTTGTCTGTTGTTGTGTTATATCCTCTGTTTCTTCACAGTACGGCAAGTTTGTGGACAATCTGCGTCTGTTTGTGCGTGGAGGGAGTGGTGGCATGGGTTTACCCCGTCTTGGAGGGCGGGGAGGTGACGGAGGAGACGTTTGGGTGGTAGCAACAAAAGACATGACCTTGAAGAAGATCAAGGACAAATATCCTGAGAAACGTTTCACAGCTGAAACAGGAGTCAACAGCAGGTCGGTTATCTCCCACTCAAACCTTGAGATTTGTTTGTTTTGAAGCCAAGTCTTGTGTTTAAGCTGCAGTGTGTACATTTTTGTGATTGTAATGACATGAGTGCCAGCATTCAGACTTTGTGAACAGAAAGTCTGAGATGACGATTGGAGTTTCAGAGATAATTAGGCCAAAGAGAGTCACACCGCTGAGGATTCAGGGGCCTCATTTTTAAGAAATAGTCGAGTAAAGACTGCAAATGTGAAATGGAAACATCTGTCCTTGTCTCTGAAAGAAGCCCTAACAAACCACAAAAAATCTGCATAAATAAATAGAAAGTAAACAAAGAATACATTTTCAACTCCTTTTAATTGAACATGATGCTTTTTTCTTTGTCCTGATGCCATTTAGAAAAAAATAGAATTCAAATAAGAATTTGCACCTGAATACTCAGTACTCAGTAGTACTAGTCCTACATCGTCGGTTTAATTCGTGTGTATTCTTGTATTATTACCAGTGTCCGAGCACTGAAGGGAGAGAAGGGGAAGAACGCAGAGATCTTTGCACCTGTCGGTATCACTGTCACCACCGATGATGGCAGAGTACTTGGTAACGTATATTACCACATACTATAAGTGTTGCAACTTATAGTGTCAGTAAAGTGTAATTGACTGTAACTTATAGTGTCAGTAAAGTGTAATTGACAAAAATGTGGGAGTAACTGAATAATGATGTCTTTGTCTCTTGTCAAGGTGAGCTGAACACTGAGGGTGTCCGTGTGAGGGTGGCCAAAGGTGGGGCCGGAGGCTCCTTCCACTCTAGGTTTGAACCGACCAAAGGTTGGAGCAGACACATCAGATTGGACCTCAAATTGATCGCTGATATGGGTCTTGTCGGGTGAGAACTTTAACACACAGAAACACCTTTTTCTGTTCAGTCCACTTGGATCAGAATTTTTTACAAAGCTCTGGTGTTTCTGTGTTCTAACAGATTCCCAAACGCTGGGAAGTCCTCTCTCCTGACAGCCATATCCAACGCCAAACCTGAGATTGCCAACTATGCCTGTATGTGAATACAGGGAGTGTAACTTTGTACCCATGGTGTACATGTATACATGCACATTCTTAAGTATTTGTTTTTTACTCTTTTTCAGTCACAACTTTGAGGCCTGAGATTGGAAAAGTCATGTACAGTGATCACAAACAGGTTTGGAATATTCACCACAGAACCTTCCAAATGTTAAGTCAGTTTTTCTCTAGTCATTTGGAAACATAGTGTCACTGGTACTAAATAAACATATTGTTGCAAACTAATGACATCACTCTGTGAAAAACACAGAGGGCTTTGTTAAAAATGGAAGATTCTTTCTTTGACTCCTCTCCTGAATTTTGTCTCCTGCTAGATCTCCATTGCCGACCTCCCAGGACTGATTGAGGGGGCTCACATGAACAAAGGCATGGGTCACAAGTTTCTAAAACATGTGGAGAGAACCAAACAGCTGCTGTTTGTTGTAAGTGAAGATCACAAAACAGTACTTGGTGATGATGACTGCAATGACGGTGGGGGATGATGGTAATGGTCATCACCATCATTAATGATGCCACAGGTCATAGGTCACCATGGGCTTGTCCTCCATTTCTCCTCTCTGCAGGTTGATGTCTGTGGTTTCCAGTTGGCAACTTCAACACCATTCAGGTCAGCGTTTGTAGCAGTGCAGCTTCTCACCAAGGTGACTTCAAACCCTCACTTAGTTTTCTTTTCCATCTGTACCAGTTATGTCGCTCCTTTTACTCTCTTTTTTCATCGTGGTCTCATTTGATTAATGTCCTCAGGAGCTGGAGTTGTACAAAAAGGAGCTGCTGCTGAAGCCTGCTCTGCTGGTGGTGAATAAGATGGACCTGCCAGAGGCTGACGACAAACTGGAGGAGCTGAAGGAGCAGCTGCAGAACCCAGGAGGTCAGTGACACTGCTGTATTTCTTGTGTATATTGATATAAACTGAAACTGTTTTCTCAATCTTCCCGTTCCCTCCTGCAGATTTCTCTGCTCTGCTGCCTGACGACATGATACCAAACAGGTACCTGACCTTCAAACACGTGGTCCCCGTCTCTGCCAACACAGGGTTTGGTGTTGACCTTTTAAAAAGCTGCATCAGAGAGTCACTGGATGAAGAAGCAGTCATGGCAACGAAAGAAGACCACAAAGTCAGACTGAAGACTCTTCGGCTCTCCCTCCCTGTGACAGAAACACAAACAATGTCTGTCTGATGGATTATGTCTCTGATCAACAGAGAACAGCCTCCAGAGCCGGCGTCGGTAATCACTCAGACTCAGTATTGGGTTCAGGAGAACTTATAGCATCGGGCAGAAGAACGTGGGCAGGGAACATTTCACATTTAAATTTTGACTCTGCCGACCGTCGCAGCCCAGAAGTGTCAGTGTGGACAAAGTTCTTCTTTGTTGTGAAAAACCTGTTGTAAATAAAAGACTTGTATTTGTACAGAGTTCATGCATTTATAGTAAATAAAGTGCTTTATTAAATTATGCTGAGCATCTTTGAAATATTTATTTCAACTTCCTGAAACATTTGGTGTTGGAGGTCGGAGGCCCCGGCCCCGGGGACACTCATCTAAAGCAGTAAGAACTGGTAGAACACACCACTGTGTTGAAGAAAGTTTTATTTTGTATTAAATATATTACAATACTGAATGATTAAGACGGGAAACTATATGTAGGGGGCGCCGGAGGGTGAACTTCGCATCCTCCGTCTGTACAACATTCAGGCAGTAATTTAGAAAACAAACTGAACAACTGCAGTATGAAGACTCCAACTGATACATGGGGGAGTTTAGGGAGTGTGGTTCAGTGGGTTAGGCTGTAGTACACAAAATACATCCCTACTGAGGATGGAGCGCTCCCCCTAGGAGGCGCTGGTCCTCCAACTGTTGGTTTGTCCATCTGTGATTAGACGGATGACATTTACAGGGAGAGACTGCCACAAGTACGGAGTCTGATCAGTTCCATTTCAGTAGAGCATCATGCAGCCCACTGTCCAAACCCTGGGTCACAGATATGGACAACGCAGCTTAGAACAGAGCTGAAGCCTGATCCGGCCCAGATCTGTGTCCTAATACCTGTGTCCAACTCTTTCATGATGCAGATCAGCACATGCCAGAGCAGGAAAAAAAACATCATCATTTCTCCATTCAAACTCAGAATAAAAAAAACATCATTCATCATTTCTCCATTCAAACTCAGAATAACTTCATCACAGTTGCTGTACATTACGCTGAGAAAAGAGTGAAGATTACAAAGGTACTTCCTTAAAAAAGGAAAAAAACAACAACATACGATTAGTAATAAAGTCCAGTAAGGTAACAATTGTATTACCATCACTTCACAATCCTAACGCAAACGTAACTTACGAACCAACGAGTGTCCACAACAGAGCGAAAACTAAACAATGACTCAATGACAAACACGTGGCCTGTAAACAACAAAGTCTCCACTGGGGGGAGTAATGAGTCACGGCTGTACAAATAACCCGATTTAAGAGAAACAAGATCGTTTCCAGAAAATTCCTCCTTAAACAGCGAGAATGAAAAAACAAATCCTTCCTGACTGACGATGAGGATGGTGACGAAGGGGAAAAGGTCTTTTGGTGACATGCTCCCTGCTCCGAAAAAAAAAAAAAATCGGATATGAAACTGTCATGCTGTTGGTCTTCACAAGCTCAAACAGCAAGCACTGTACAGCGTATTTATTCATCTAAAAGCTAAACATCGTCGTCATCACAGCTAAATCCAAAATGCATTTTTCAATCACGGCTTCCAGATTCTCACAGAGCTGGAGGTTATGACTCCACCTTGACCTTGAATTGACCTCGTCCTTTTAACTGGAAATTTGCAAATTGACACTAGGGGGCGGGTGGAGCGGGTGTTTCTACAACTACAGCAACACAAAGCCTTTCGTCCATTTCTTCGCACACTAATGGCACATGTGACTATTTCAACGCAGCTAAATTAACACGATCGCAGTAACATTCATACTGTGGAGTAGCACAATCTACATCGCCCCAAACGGGTGGACTCTGCTGTATGTGCGGAAAAACGACGTCAGAGTTACTCAGAAGAATGGTAAAAATTAGGGATGTCCGATATTGACTCTTTTGCCGATATCTGATATGTTGATATTATCCAAACACTCAATTTCCGATATCAACCGATACCGATATATGCAGCTGTTTGTCCCCAAAACTGAGGGAAACGTCTCAGGAACCTACAAGCGATTCCAGTGAATTTGGCGAAACCCAGACATTGGGTTATCAGGTTTTCATTATCGGAGGAAAATTCAATAACATTTCTTACAGATATTACACAATTATGCTAATATCGGCCAATATTATCGGACATCTCTAGTAAAAATGCCAGGTGACGGAGCGTGGAGAATGTCTTCTCTCCTACAGAGACCGGCTTCTGTCCACAACACCATACGGCCAAAAGATCTTTCGACATAAAGCCAAAAGGAAAAACAAACAAACGAACAAACAACAAAAAAACCACAGTCTTTGAGGATTTTTCCTGTACATATTTACACACGCACAAACAACGCCGTGAAAAGGAGAAGAAGCGGGGGCGTCCATGACTTCATGGCGTCATGACTTAATGCTTTATACTTGTTGATAGAATATGGGTTTGCTATAGTGTAGAGGATGCATGGAAGCCTACAGAAGGTATAAAATCACTGCCCTCCCCGCATGCTTTCCTCTCAGATGGCCTCACTGCTCCTCGGGTCTCGTCTGTCGGAGGAGGATGCTGATAAACAGGGTCGTCTCATGCATACAGTGTGTCTACAGTGATTCACGTGCGTGGAAATGATGTGAGAAAGTCCTGCGGAGAGGAGCGTCAAAGACCTCGCGGAACAGTGGCGTGACGGTGAGTGTGATGAGAGAGAGTTCAGGATTTAGGTTGGCTGGGTGGGTGGGTGGAGGTGAAGGGGTCGAGGGGTCTGGGGATTCAAAGGTCCCTTCGGTGACGGAACAGCTCAGGCTCAGCTCCAGGTGGTCTGGACTGAAGGTGGCGCTGGAGTCTCCTCCAGAGCGTCTGCATCATCCTGTAGTGATGCGCTGAAACAAGAGGCTCTCCGGCCTCAGAGATGGTTTCACACACCAGCTCACACACACACACACACTAGTTCCACTCCAGACGGGGGGTTTCCTCTCTCTCTCTTTATTTCTTGTTAGTTGTTTAGAGTCAATTTAGCTTCATTTTTCTTTTGTTCACTCATAAAAAAGGAGAGACAAGTGAAGTTCCTTTTGTTCTTGCGCAGAGTGTGAGAACTTTTTTATATTGAAGTTTCCCACAGCTGCAAACAGAAGAGACGGCATTTTAGTTTTCACATATTTACACACCAGTACATTTGAACACAAACAGAGGCAAACGGCTCTTGTTGTTTAATCTGATTAATCGCAGGTTGACTGTGGATTAAGCAAAAGTCGAGGACGTCCGTAATTTTGACATCCCTTATTCTTTTCGTTGCCTAGAATGTTAGTCTTGTCTAGTCTTCTGTCGTTCAGATTTGTTCTGAAGGGTTTTATTTACTGACTGAATGACCTGCTCATCAGTTAAAGTGTAAATGAACTGTTATGACTAAAGAACTGCTGTGATGTAGTTCCACGTCTCGTGGTTCAGTACTTGCCCTGGCACTCTGCCTCGCTTTCCTCTGGTCATCGGGGAGAGGAGGCATTGGATACGGGTACTTCCTGCTGGATGCGATCGACCCAGTGGAGGAAGTGGGAGACTTGGCAGGAGAAAGCGTCCTGAGGAACAGAGGAGGTGACACCATTAAAATGTTGCCTCTTCATTTCTGGACGTCGTTTACGTCGGGTTGGCCAAAGACACAGATCGGAAATGAGGTCGGACCGAGGAAGTGGAGCCAATGTTAGATCTGTGACTTTGGGCAACTTCCTCTGTGAGCTGCTCTAATTATTCAGTGTTCTGGTTCCTGTGGAGAGAGGTCGCCCAGAAAAGCTCCCGCAGACGGGCGATCATGTGATCTGATCTGGAAAACACCGTGGCTGTAACTCAGCTTTTCATGGGCGACGTCTGTACACAGCAGGTACTTCATACAGCAGTACACAGTACTCCATGAGGTACTCCAGGCACAGTCACAGTTGCCTCAGGTTCATGTGTGTAACTGCGCTGCAGCATGATTCCTTCATCACTCTGCACTGACACACACACACACACACACACACACACACACACACGATCAGATCCTGCAGAAATACACCTTCAGCCTCTGTAGGGGGCATCATGCTGCTGAAGGTGTAGTTGGGCTGCCAGCTGAACCAGTGAGTGAAGGATGAACGCTGCAGGAGTGACAATAGAATGAGAAGATGGAAGAACAGACACAGACGCCGTCGCCCGGGAACAAAGGCACCACAGGTGTCAAATTCATTTGGGTTCGGGGGCCAAGTGGTCCAGACCAGTACAGTCGTAACATAAACACCAAGTCTTTCCCCCCTTTGTTTCCATGCAAATAAAGTACATAAGATCAATCTTCATATTTAGTGAAATATATTTTTACCAAACATTTCCTGAACATGAAGTGTTTATATCTTCTAAATTCATTCAGTGGACTAGATTGAAACCCCAACTGGGCCGGTTTGGGCCAACGAGCCATATGTTTGGCACCCGTGGACTGGATAAATTATGGGCTCACAGTAGGAGTGTATTCAAATATAAGGATTTGGAAAATCACTTCAGTTTTGTTATAGACCAGGGGTCACCAATGGGGTGCCCTGATGGACCACATAAGGCATTGTTTCCCAAAGACTGGGTCGCGACCCTCAGGTGGGTTTGGGTCGTCTCACATCATGTTTCCCAGGAGTTTTTGAACTTTGTCTATCGACTTGGGTTGCAAAGGTTTCTGACCTGTGTCTGTGACCATCTACAGACCTCAGCGACTTGTGTCTGTGACCATCTACAGACCTCAGCGACGGTGAGACAACAGTGTCAGGCTCACACGACGACATCACGCGTGAAGACACGTGAGGTCACCGGGAGGGGAGCAGACGGGCAGACACTTACTGACACAACAACACTGATCATGCTGAGTTAACAAGAGGTGGAGGAGGATAAGCGGGGGAGAGGGGTGAGGGAAAAAAATAAAAAATAAGAAGAGAGTCTGGAAAAACACACAGGTGGCGCTGCAACGCTGGCACGAGTGGTTAGAGCCGTACTACATAGCAGGAAATGAAAATATGCAAATTAAAATTAAGAAATAGAAATTAATTCTAGGTAACATATATATGCTTGATGGGTTTTTTTTTAACAATTCAACAACAACCTCCCCTGAAAGATCACAACATGTCAGCTCTAGGACGTCGTCTTATGTTTTCTACTCTTTAGGTTTAAAAATAAAAGAAGGTTTCTCTGACCAAAACACAAATGAAAAGTAAAGGCAGGTTTTTAACAAGCATGTGAGGTCGAGAACAAGGTCTGAGGTAGTACCTAAGGTAAGGTCCTCGGGTGTTTTTATTCACATCTTCTACCCATTTAGTTACATCATAATACTCTGTTTTGGAGCGAGGGGTTAAATACCTGTGGGAGGTGTGTGAGGGGGGAGGACGTGACACAAGGATGGGGGAGAAGAGAGAAAAAGGAAGGACGTAAGGAAGGAAGGATGGAAGGAAAGAAAATGAACAAGACAGTAAAATCTCCAGGAGTCAGTGTGGGGGAGGAGAGAGGGGGAGAGGAGATATTTTTAGGAAGGCACAGCAGAGCAGAGACAATCAGAACAGACACCAAGATGCACTTGAGAAAATGGAGAGAAAGATGGCAAACAGACCTGTGTGCAGTGTCAGATGGGAACCATATCAATGGCAAACAACCGTGTCATGTGTGACGGGCTCAGAGACACTGTTTGCTACATGTCACGTCATTCCAAGCGTTCGGCGCGCGCGGCCGCTCAGTCAGTCTCATGCTTGCAATGACAAACAGCTGCACGGCTTCACAGGCCAAGACCTTCAAACCCACAGACAGGAGGCAGCCGACGCACACCGTTCACGGCTCATTCACAGTCAGCAGTCGACAAGCATGAGTGCACGGGTGTCATCGGGTCAAAGGTCAGGGATGGAAGATAAGTGGCTGAAGTGCAGCCTCACGCCAGGCCAGGGAGGTGACGACAACTAAGTGTTTATACTATGTCTTTCTAAAAAAGCTGATGAACGTCGCCGGTATACGCCGTCACGAACAAGGGTACGTTGAAATGTTCTGAGAAAAACTTTATCAAATGTCTATTTATCAAAAATAATCTTTTCTGAATATCCTCATTTTTAGTTGACACACTTCTGCAGGCGTCCCTCTCAGGTCAATCAAGTTCCCTCCAGGTGTTATCCCAGAGAGAAATAATATGGAGATTAGATACAAATCTGAGGAAAAACCACGATTCCATGATTTCAAACATTATTTGACAATATTTGAAAGTTTAGGGTTTGCGTGGTACGTTGGAAGGAATCCTGTCTAACATCAGAATGCTCTGGGTTCTATACCACCTGGTTCTCCAATCCGTGGTTGGCTTGTGTCAGGAAGGGCCTCCGATGTTAACCCTTCCAAATCAATCAATTCAGTTTGAGAATCAGACTCCTTCAGAAACATCTGTCTCGGACCTCGTTGACGTACCCTCATCATTCTCATAGGGAGTTAGTTTTCAAAACTGGACTTGTTACCATATTTTCTGGACTATAAGTCGCACAAGCCAAAAGTTGTTTTCATACAACTAGAACTTTTGTGTCTATCTTCCTGACAAACTCTTCGTCATGTTCAACAGTAAGATCAGCAGCTGGGCCCCAGGAACTTACTCTGTGGAATTAGAGCGAGCGCGAAACTTCTTTCCTTTCAGTTTCTTACGATTCCCACTCAGATTTCCTGGAAGTAAATAAACAAAAACACAGGCTTATGTCGCAAAAGCGTGCAAATAAAAACACAATTATAACACTCAAAAATGCCCAGGAAATATTGGCTCCGTTAGAGTGGAACCGGTGACAAACTCGACAAAAGCCTCTGCGCTTACGGACGAGCAGCTAATACCTTGCCAAGAGTTGCTTCTCGGCCGTCCATTTTCACAGATGTCAGAGATGTGTTTGGCATCTGGGATCCTCTCGCTCCATGAGTGCGACAGTCCGTTAGATCTGCACAAACATGCACGCACACACTTATGAGCGTAGCAAAAACAACACACCGTGAGGCCTACTTCAGCTATGACAAATCAGGAAAGGTCTGTTCTGGTCACAGATTTAGAGACAAAAGCTGTAGTTAATGAAGGAGTGCATGAAGACACCATGGCTGCGAATGGCAACATGATGAGCCGCGATCCGGCATCGTGACATGAGGATGGGACGTGATGTGAGAGCTGAGCTGATCGCTGCCTGACTTTACTACAACTTTGAACATCACTTTCCAGAATGTTCAAAGACAGCGGTGCATATAAAAGCAATGATGGTTATGTCATAGCACGGTGGTTCTCAAACTATGGTACGTGTACCACTGGTGGTATACGGGGGTCCGACCCACCACCAATCGCACGTTCATAAAAAGGACTCTCTGTAGCAAATTGAAGCCTTTGTTACTGAAGGCTTTTTCATTCACGGAGGCAATGGAACCGACTAGCCTCGTTCAGATTACGACTTGGGGGGGGGGGAGACTCTCAGTTTGGTTCTGATTGCTGTGTGCTGGGTCCATGTCTGGTCAGACTGTACTGACAAGGACATAACTAGAACCCAACTGCAGCAAAATGGATAGATGAAATTATTTATATAAACATACGTTTATATCTGTATTTATATAAACCCTTGTTAACGGAAACAACGGTCGGAAAATAAATAAAAACAGTGAAGGTTAAAGTAACTTGGAGACAGTCCCTAAACTGACATGGATTGTCTAAGGGGGCAGGGAAGATGGTGGAATTTCCAAAGGGATTGCCCTTAGCCGAGTCCGACCTGCGACGCGGCGAAGCTGGGGATTGTAACTCGGTCTGACCGGTGAGACTGCGGTCGTTGTGACTGCTTAGGGGAAGTTTATGACTGTTTTACCGGCTGACCACCGGCCCACGGAGCGGCGACGTGTGCATTGTAACGCACCGTCAGAGCGGTCATTCGGCGATTGATAGACTTAGACACAACATACAAACAGACATATTTACAATTCAAGCACAAAGAAAATGTCAACAAAAGCCGGAGCAACAAGCACGAACAACGGAGCAGACGATCTGACACTGCGTTCTCCTGTGACAGGACTTATATACGGGGCGTGTAATCAGCGGTAGCTGCTGGAGGCAGGTGACGGCGATGATGCTGATGATTGGCGGGCAGGAGCGGCTGGATGATGACGACGCTGATTAACGGGCAGAGATGGCGGTTTTCACGACAATGGAAGCACCAGTTGGAATGCTACTTCAGTTTACAGCTAAACATGCTAACAATGCTGCCGCTGGATTTAATGTTGGACATATCGGAGGGACAAATGTTTTCGTCGGTGATACACACACCATGTACGAGTTTGAGAACCACTGATATGGTAAGTTTTGTCTTAGCAGGGGTGTCCAAACTTTACCACAGACATAAATAAATAAATATATATACTAACATATATGCATATATATAAATATAAACACTCTGAGGTCAATCTATCTTATTCAAAGTGTTTTTGTTTGTACCATAAAAGCTGAATTTGGACATTTACTGTCTGTACCATGGAAGGACTGCCTTTGTCTGAATTAAATGTTAGTAAATATACTGTTAAAACTTTAAACTTTAAACTTTAAAATCACGCCCCGGTAATAGATATTATGTACATTTCAACTAAAAAAACCCCAAAAGTTACTACAAAGACCAATGCAATATTTACTGCTGTGTAGTTTTCCAATAACGTTCACAGACACATTAAAGACCACAATCGGCAACATGACCCAGACTTTGGACACACCTGGTCGCAAAGCATTCACACGCACCACCACCACCACCCACACACATAAACACACACTGTGAATGAATGAGTTATGACATGGCACACCTGAAGCCAAACAGTGAGATGTTCTGAGAAATGGATGGGATGGATGGAGTGAAGGACAAGGTGCAAATCTGCAGGTGGGACAGGCAGGCTGACCTCTTCTTAGAGCTGCAGCCGGAGTTTGTGCTGACACCTGGAGGCATGTCGCTGTAAAATGAATCTGCGTCCCCAGGCTTTGTTACATAGTCGCCTGGAGGCATTTGCCTACAAATAAAGAACAACACTTTGGTGTGAAATTACACACCAGCCTGAAACACACACACGTATTCCATGTCTTTCAGCCAGTGGTTTGGGACAAATGTCTCTGCAAAATACAACAAATATCACGCTTTACACATTTACAATAACAACTAATTTTGCGTGTACGAAACCTAAACCCTCTCTGTCTCATATCAGTGTCTCTTCTATGTGTTATTTCACAGCATTATTACGTAACGTGTAAGACAGAAGAAATGTCAACTCCATCTCTAGCAACCTTCCAAGTGGAAAATCTCTCTCAACTATACTTCGCTAACACTTCACTAAAACGTCAGGTCCTCCGTCGTGTAATAAAATAGATATAAGAATATTTAAAAGAAAACCATTGAATACTTCAAATACTTCAAATACTACAAATTTGACATTTAGATTAATCGTAAGTGCAACACATGAAAGAGATGAGCAAACCGGCAGAATCTTCGGTGAACCTCCGACTCAGCGTAGCGCCTCTTCTTGTAGCTCCTGTGAAGAGCAACACATGAAATCTAAAATTCATTTCATTTTAACTGCTGTACATCCCACTTGGTGGCGCTGTAGTTCCAACTGTAGTGTGAAAGCTGTCTCTTTTCATTCCACATTATTTCAGACAATCACAAATCTACAAGTATAAAGACAGAAAGTCTGCAAAAAAAGGACTTTTTTTTCTTCACTTATTGGGTCACAGCTGGTGTAGTCTGATCACTGATTCTCACATCCTTATTGGGTCACAGCTGGTGATCAGACTACAGTCTGATCACTGATTCTCACAGTGACTTACTTGTAGCACCAGGCTGTAACAGCCAGGATGAGTGCGAGGAAGAGAATGGAGCCTGCGATGGCCCCGACGATGATGTTGGTACTGGTGATACCTGAGACAGAGGACGACAGGAGAGAGAGAGAGAGAGTGACACATCTCATTCTCTGAGTCGTGGACACGTGGGAAAACACTGACCACAAACTACTGCAGTGGAACCAAAACACAGTGTCATTAGCAGGAGGAGTAAACGGAGCTCAAGGGGGAATAAACTGAGGAAAGACATTATCGACAGCCTTTGGTTTCTGCTCTGAAGAGACCGTGTTGAACATGAGGAGTGAGTTCCCTTTTTAGGTAGATAATAATAATAAAACTGAACCACCAGGGTGAATGAGGAGAAGAAGGACATGGAAGAGAAAACAGGACAAAAACAAAGAAAATAAAAAAAAAAGAACTCAAATCTGACCTCGGTTCTCTCTGTCAAACCCGTGAGCCTGTCGACAAAGAACGAGTGAAAAATAATGACCAAAAAAAAAGTGATTACAAAACATTTCACTTCAAACAAACACAAGATGAGGAAAGAATGAGCGACAACGGGCGGTGACCACACTCAAGTGTCCACGTTCATACTTGAAACGGAGGTCGTTGGTCCAACCATGAGGTAACTGAGCGGAGACGTGGAATTACAGTCTTCTCCGGCCCAGCCCAGGTAACACACACACTTCAGCTCATTACTGCACACCTACAACACAACATACACAGGAAAGATATTTTATTGATTAACCTGAAAACATACATTTTTTTGGGAGATATGACAACATTTGAAAAATTCCTGGGAGGCAAAATTTCAAGAAGGGAAAAAAAAGATTTGAAATGGTTTTATTGCATCTGGTGTGTGTGTATGTGTGTGTACCCCGTGTCCAGAACAGATGGTCTTGTCCGTAGTCCCGGGGCAGGTACTGAAGTTGAACTGTTGGATGGGGAGACATTTGTGATTGAAACAGATGTGGTCTGTCCCACAGGCGGTTCCGTCTTCGACATATCCAAGATCAGTGTCTCCATCGATCACCACGTGGGCACCGCTGGATAAAAACACACGGAATCAAGAATCAAGAAACACAGGTTTCTATTGCAGATAGATAATGGATAGAACTTGGTGTGTTCTGTGTAAACGTTCCTTCATCAGAGTCATTTTTATAGTGGTTATGACTGTTGGTTAAGTCAGTGATCAAATATTAGCGTTAACCAATCAGAGGTAAAGACTGGAAGAAAAAACTCTTTTGACTTCAACTCTTCCCAAGCCATGCCGACTTCCCACTGACGTCGACTGATCGTCTTTTCTGTCAGTGCCAACCACTGACGCCTGACTTTAGCCACAGACGCAACAGTGTCGTTTCTGACCTGCAGTCCAGAGAAGCGCTGTGTCGGGCCACAGAGAAGGAGGTCAGTCCACCCTGCAGCTCCCCCAGTCGCGGCGCAGGTGAGATGTTAGAGCACAGCAGGTAACCACAGTGGACATCCCTGAACGACCAGGGCAGAAGCACAGGTCAGATGGAGAGAACATTCCAGAAGCTCAGTATCTAACGTGTCAGAAAAGCACCGGCTTACTGCTTGTTACACTGGATCCAAGTGTCCTTGTCTTTCCCACAGTTGCCCTTCTCTGTGCCCTCAATGTTGAGCTTTTCGTAACAGAACTTGTCGGCCGCTGTTGCCTCTGAACAAGTCACAGAAAGACATGGAGTCAGAGTCAGACAGGTGTCGGTATAAAGACGGACAGAGGAGTTGATCAGTAGAAGTCACCAACTCACTCTCTCCCCAGATGTACTTGCACTGTCTGTCTTTGGTTTTACACCGTCCGTTGAAGCAGCGACCCTGTGGTTGAACAACACCCAGCATCATGTTGACTTCAAAAATAAACAAACACAAAGGTGTTTAATTAACGTTAGACACAATTTTTACCTGATCCTTCTCACATGTGTAGCCGTCCATTTTGTGTGCATTAGGAGGACACTGCAAAAAAACCATTTTTTTAAAAATCAGAAAACCTTTAATCGCCATGGGAACTGGTTAGAGTGTGAAGAGCACAGCTTAAACTCACCTGGCTAGAGTTGCCGGTGCAATTTTCAGGGATGTCACAGTCGTTCACTGCATCTCGACACACTACCCCCGTCATTTCCATCTGGGGGTTAAAAAAATCCCACATTTTTGTTTTTAATACAGTAATACCCTCATTTTGTGATATTGTTACAGTGTCTCATTGGGACTCCACTCCCCCCCCCAACTCCCCAGGATGTAGCACACAGACGCTGTTTAGCCAGAGCTCACAGTCTGTCTTTTAACAGACAGGTGCAATACTATTGTGTAAGACCACTGCGCAATTAAGTGCAATATCACTGCGCAATATTTCCTGTTCAGCTCCAGCACTATCACTTATTTGTTCCTGTTTACATTTGTCACTCCATCTTGTCACTCTCAACACACTTCTGAACTGTTTACATGTTTATTTACCATTAGTTTATATTTAGCACAATTTCTGTTCTGCACTACCTACGTATATACATAAGTATGTAGAAATACTTCAAGTAAGTACTCGTGGCCTACAAGCTGTGTACTTGGTACTGTGTACTCCGGTTGCCAAGCAACGACATTTCGTTGCCAGACTCACTGTTTTCTTGTGTTTCTGTGCAATGACAATAAAGAAAGTCGAAGTCATATGACAAAAAATATCACAAAACATAATATTGCAGTATATTATGTTCTGTCATAGTGATATGTCTTGTGATCTGAGCTGGGGAATAAAACAGTTGTTAGTTTTTAATTATGTATTTACCGAGAGTCCATTCATTATTTTCTTTTAGGTTGTATTTCTTTTTTGACTGGACCTGGAACAGTGTGTGGAACAGACTCCTCGTGGTATACAGTGATGTTTACCTGGCAGTTGTTGCAGCAGAGTCCATCACTGCACTTTGAGCCTTGAGTCAGCGTACACTTCTGACAGCACATTTCACCCTCTCTGGCACAGTCCTGGACAACAAGCTCAGAATCAACGTGTGATCCATCCAAATATAGCACAACAGAATATTTAATTAATATTAATAATTAATATAAAAATATATCTATATAGAGTAAATACAGATATAAATATATGAGCAAACACAACACACGTCACAACAACAAACGTCAGTTCTTCTATGTAGGGTTAATCTGGAGTTTATCTCTTCCTGTTTTGGTTTGTGTCTGTGAACACAGCGGTGACTCACTGCTGGGCTGCCGCAGTCACACTCCTCTCCTGGTTCCACAAAGCCGTTGCCACAGATTGGAGGGTCCAACAGCTGATTGGAGGAAAAGGGAAATGATTTACAATAGTAAGAAAATACCTCAAACAAGCAAGAAAAGAAATAAACAAACAATGACTTATTAATTTTCTAAATTGAGACTGATTGTAGTGAGTTTCCTGTTGGATTCTACCATTATTCAGTGCTTTCTAAACTTTTACGCTGCAGCGCCCCCTTTTTGTAGAACGGACCACTGTAGAGCCCTGCGCCCCATGTCAACACACTCACAGACATTGTGAACTGACGCCAAACCTTTTCCTTTCCGCACTCCTCAGGGGCCCCGCCCCACACTTTGGGAACTGCTGTCATGCAGTTTACTGGCAGGAATAGCTGAGTTTCCAGTGAGTGAGTGAGTGTGTGTGTGTGTGTGTGTGTGTGTGTGTGTGTCGTACCTTCAGAGGTTTGTTGAACAGACACATGCCTCCTCCACTGTTCAGGAAGTTGTGATATTCCTCCACGTTGCAATCAGAGAACCTCTTTGGCAGGTAGAAACTGTTTAACACAACCAGAGTCTGTGGTTATCACTGCTACAGTACAGGCTAAAAAAACAACAACAAAAAAACAAACAACAAAAAAACTAAACCTCCCTGTTCTACAGATAAATGACTTTGAAAACCTGAGTGTTCAAAGTTAAACTTGTGAAACAGATGTGTTCATACTCACGGCGTGGACGAGAGCCTTACAAAACACGGAGACATTAGTAATTAAAGTGTAGCTGTCAGCACACACTAACACATGGACGGAGATGTGCTGTAGATGGATCAGGAGGCTACAGGGGCTGAACATGACGCGCTGATACACTGTTATTGCATCATCATTTCACACTGAGACCCTGCGACTGTGAACGCACCGGGATTTGTCCTGTGCAGCCGCAGCGCTAACGCTATGCTGTGCTGCTGATTGGGCTGCTGAGAGATGACCTGAGTGGCTCTGACTGGAACAACAAACAATGCAATAACAGACAGAGTGGATGACAGACGA